CTGTCTGTAACTCCAGTTCCAGGGGATCCGACAGCCTCTTTTGACCTCTGTGGGCATTGCACGATATGTGTGCACTTACCTACATGCAGGCAATACAAGCATACACATAAAATAAAAATAATAAAATTTAAAAAAATAAAGATATAACAAAAAAAATTTAATTAAGGCAAAAAAACAAGGATGGCAAGATGATTCACTGGGCACAACACTCACCACACAGCATGAGATCCCCAGCATTCATAAACACTGGGTGCAGTGGCATGCATCCGTAACTAGGTGGGGAGAGGTGGACCCAGGCAGCTTGCTGGCCAGCCAGTCAGGTCAAGTTCAATGAAGAGACCTGACTCAAAACAAGGTGAAGAATAGAAAGAAACTCCTGACATCTACCTCTGTGTCACTGGCAAGCGCACCTACAAACACACATGCATATACAACAAACTGAGGTAACTGCCCTTTCTAGAGAGTTCAAGGGATGCATAACTGAAAATTCAGATTTGCAACATGTTTTTTGAAACAGAACAGGAAAAAGAGGCCCAATGAAATTTGTTAATCAGTCCTCAGACTGGCAATATCAAATGAACCTTTGAAAATGTAACCTATACTCAATTCCCAAGATTAGGCTGATTAAGTCTAATCCTCAGGAAACACAGCAGGCTAAACTTAGTAAAATAAAGGTTCATGCTAGCTGTTTTGGAATTAGATTAAAAATGTTAAAATGAAGATGGGCTTGGTTGTGCCCACCTTTACTGTCAGCACTCCAGAGGCAGAGGCAGGAGGATATCTGTGAGTTTAAGGCCAGCTGGGGCTGGAACAAGAGCCTGTCAAAAAAAAAAAAAAAAAAAAAGAAAGAAAGAAAGAAAGGAAAAGAAAGAAAAAAGTTACAATTAACCAGTATCAAACAAGTCTTAGAACAAGATGAAACAGATTAAAACCTAAGACAGGACCAACTCTTCCCAATCCCAAGTTTTATCAGTTACATTTCAAACAAATCTCAGGTGAGCAGCTGACTTTACTACTTTCCCACTCCTTTCAATTTCAACATTTTTCAATTCAACATCTGCCAAATTTAGTATGCCCTGAGAAATTAAGCATTCTTACATCACTTCCACAAATAATGGCATCTTTTTTTTTTAAGTCATTTTGAGAAAGGGTCTCCCTGGATGCCCCAGCTGGCCTAGAACTCACTAGGTAGACCAACCAGGCTGGCTTCATCTCACAGGAGATCCACCTGCCTCTGCTTCCTAGGTACAGGGATTAAAGGCATGTGCCACCACACCCAGCAAATGACAGCATCTTACAAATCACCCAAACCCAAGAGAAAAAACTTGTCCTGTAAAATATTTGTCCTATGAATCCAACCAATTCTTAAAAGCATGTCAATAGTGGGGGAAAAAAATGTATGTTTTCTGAACAGTATTCCTAGAAATGCACTGTGCATAATAAACAATCTTTTTTTTTTTTTTTTTTTTTTTTTTTTTTGGTCTTTTTTTTGAGATAGGGTCTCCCTGTAGCCCCAGCTGTCCTGGAACTAACTATGTAGACCAGGCTGGCCTTGAACTCACAAAGATCCGCCTGCCTCTGCCTCCCAAGGGCTGGGATTAAAGGCATGCGCCACCACGCCCGGCTAAAACAATCTTAAATTTAAATGAATTTACTAAACAGCACCAGAACAGTAAATGACCCAATGACAATATTACAATGATCATTCTCTAAAGCAAATGACTCTTGTTTAACAAAAAGAAAAAAGCAACTTAAACATTTCAAGACATTCAATGAAAGCAGACATCCTAAATGGACAGTGATTAGAAGTTTCAAAACTGAAATAGTGAACTTTTCTTTACCTGATGTTCTGCATGAATGTTATCCCCTGTAGGCCATCGATGTTTGCTATTATTATAGCTGCCTCCACCACTTCCTCCTCCCCCAAGCTGCTCACCATGCTGCCTCTGAAAGAAGTAGTCCACCATAGCGTCGTCCTGGGAGCGGCCTGCAACTCCTATGGATCCTGGGACAGGGCTGGAGTGTGTCCCAGCTGCAAGAGCTTGATTTGCAGCTGGTTGTGGCTGCCCTTGCGACCCTGTTCCAGATGTCAAAACAACAGGCATGTTGGGATTAGCTGGTTCTTGAGGGTGATGTTTCAAGTGGGGGCTGAAAGAGTCCTGCCAAAGCACTGCTTTTCTCTTCAAGACACATGCAACGCTCATTCCACCAACACCTGAGGACAAACAGGTTATAAATGTTTAATGCTTGCATTTTTAAATCCAACTCCATGTACACCAAAACAAAAATGAATTCCATGTGCTTTGCAAAACAATCATATATATAACCTGTCTTTTCCAAGAAGCTAAGTGTCTTGCAATATACACAATTTCGTGAACTAAATCTCCACTTTTAAGTTGCTGAGTCTGTGTACAGAAATAAAGGCAGTCAGAGGCAGGTACTCTGACAAGTAATGAGATGAGGGTTCACTTCAGAGCTTTACCAAAACATGACACAAGAGACTGGAGGCACTATAGAGGCTCAGCGGTAAGCGCAACAATGCTTTTGGCAAAGGATCTGGGTTTGGATCCAAGCACCCAGTTCACAGTGGTCTAAGTCCAGTTCCAGGGAATCTGTCACCCTCTTCTGGCCTCCGTGGGCACTGCACACACAGTGCACACACAAAACGAAAATGAATTTTTAAAAATTTTAAGTAACACTAGAAAGGCTGGAGATGTATGTCAGTACTAAAGTACTTGACTAAGATGTGCAAGGACCTAGGTTTGATCTCCAGCGCCACTAAAGATTTAAATAATACAGTATCAGAATTTAATCAATGGCTTCTCTACCTAACTTACTTTCTCCTTAAATCAACTATACATACAGCTTTGAAATAAACAGGAGTTTCTTTGGTTTTTTTAAAGTGGGGTATCATGTAACCAAGGCTAGTTAGAACTCACTATGTAGTTAAGATTGGCCATGAACTTCTGACCCTCCTAGCTCTACCTCTTGAGTGCTTGCAACAACAGGCCCATGAGCAGTAGCTTCTTAAAGCATTAAATTTAGGGGTTGGAGTTGTAACTCAATGGAGTACAGTACTTGCCCAGCCTGCACAAGGCCCTAGGTTCAATCCCACGCATCACAAAATAATAATGAAGTTTCAATTAAAAAAAAAAATTATAGCCAGCCATGGTGGCACACGCCTTTAATCACAGCACTTGGGAGGCAGAGGCAGGCGGATCTCTGTGAGTTCAAGGCCAGCCTGGTCTACACAGTGAGTTCCAGCACAGCTGGGGCTACAGGGAGACCCTGTCTCAAAAAGGTCAAAAAAAAAAAAAAAAAAAAAATTATAGCTGGAGCAGACATGTCAATAACCAAAGAAAAATCTAAACCTCAACTATAATTTTCAATGGCTTAGATTCTGTAACTTGAAAGAACTTTTTAATGTCCAACAGTTTGTAAGACACTCATTGGTAAAATAAGCAAACATATTGAATCAAGAGCAGCAGCATTTTTAGCCTAAAGCCTCTCCTCCACTGCTACTGACAAGGGAACAGTCAAGACTTTTACCAACTTATAAATACAATGTAATCATATTCATTAGTGATGGACTCCTAGCAACAGGATGAGACAAACTCAATTTACTCTACTGGTACTAAACCTTGCTGTAAAACGGAGGCCTTACCGCAGTAACAGTTCAACAAATACATGGCAGACATTATCTCATCACACAAACACTAAAAGGCAAGCATTATTAGCCCATTTCTACAAGTGAAAACAATACAGACATTAGGTGAGGAGCCCAAGGCCATCCAGCTAGTGAGCAGAGAGCTCCAACTGCTCTGCACCCAAGCCTGGCTCCTTCTACCACTGCAGCATCCTATCTTACACCCCTCTGCAAGACCAACAAAGAAACCCAATGTTATTAAGAACTGCTACTTAAGTTCCTTTAAAAAAAAAAAAAAAAACATTTGTACATACAAAGTAAATAAATTAATTACTAATTAGGATACATCTATCTCCAACCACCAGTGGTTATCAGCACTGCTCCACAAGACATCGATGTTCTCTCTTTATTCAATAAGAAATCTCTTGGCAGAATAATATTCCCTTCTCACAACTAATTCATGTTTTGAAGCCAGCAGTAAGAAATCACAATGGAATCTGTAATCTGTTCAAAACCTAATTTGGAATCCCAGCACACTAGGTGTCTGAGACAAGAGTTTGGGGCCAGTGTGATACATGGTGATTTCAAGGCCAACGTGGGAGATACAGTAAAGTCCTGTCTCAAAAGACTAAAGACAAAACAAAACAAAAGCCCTAATTTGGAAATGCCTTGTCCAGATAACCAATTCCAATCTCCTCCTACTCCACCCCACCCCCAACAAAAATCCAATCCATCAGATCCTTACCAGGATACTGGAATAGTTTTAGCCTTCTAGATGTTCATGAATAAAATCTTGTCCAGGCTCAATTAAAACACCAGAAAAAAAATCACAGTTGTTTCAACATTAGCCTTTGCAAAGTGCAAATCAGTCTAATGCCTTCCCACTTGATTTTCAAAAGATCTCATTACCCTGTTATTGCACAGTCCTATCTATTTTCTTCTACAAGAGTTTCAATCTAACAATTTGGGCCAAGTGTCTCAAAACCCAAGTTTTGCCACTAAACTAACAATCTCTCTCAACCTGTTTTCTCATGGAAAAGGGCAGAAGGGAGGGAGGGAGAAAGGGAGGGAGGGACAGACTGACCACCCTTCCTCCATGCCTCAGTTTTTAGGCAAGTTTTTTCAATCTAAGTAAGTTAACAGGTATAAAAAGACTTTCATAAATTTAAAGTCACCATGCTGGGGCTGGAGAGATGGCTCAGCAGTTAACAGCAATGGCTGCTCTTGCAGAAGACCTGGGTTCGAATCCCAGCACCCACATGGTGGCTAACAACTGTCCTTATTTCTAGTTCCAGATTGGAAGCCCACTTCAGTCTTCCAAGGGTGTTCCACAGCATGGGTGCACTTACATACATGTAGGTATAAAGGTATAACACTCGTAAGACAAAAATAAGCTAGGCGTGGTGGCCCACAACCTTAATCACAGCACTTGGGAGGCTGAGGCAGGTGGATCTCTGTGAGTTCAAGGTCAGCCTGCCTACACAGAGTTCCAAACCAGCTGGAGCTACAGGGAAATCTATCTCAAAAAGACCCCCCAAAAAAATTTTTAGGTCACCATGCTAAGGATTGCACAAAACTTAGTGTTCTACCACCATGTAAGGCAATGGCACCTCAATCTCTAAGAAATTCTTAAATTAGTACATGTGATCTTTTCTGACATAGACATCATAAAGAGCTATCTCGTGGCTGGAGAGATAGCTGCGTGGTTAAGAGCACTGGCTGCAGCGGGTGTGGTGGCGGCGTATGCCTTTAGTCCTAGCACTCCCAGACACTTGGGTGGCAGAGGGCAGAGGCAGGTAGAGCTCTATGAGTTCAAGGCCAGCCTGGTCTACATAGGGAATTCCAGGCCAGCTGGGGCTGCAGGGAGACCTTGTCTCAAAAAAAAAAAAAAAAGAAAAAAAAAAGAGCACTTGCAGAGGACCCAGGTTCAGTTCCCAGCACCCACATGGCCTAACAACCATCTGTAACTCCAGTTCTAGAGGATGCGGTGCCCTCCTCCAGTTCCAGGGGATCTGACACCGTCCTCTGATCTCCTCAGGCACTGCATGACATGAGTGTACTTAAATGCAGGCAATACACAAATACACATAATAAAAAATATTTCTTAAAAGTTATCTAAGGCTGGGCGTGGTGGCACATGCCTTTAATCCCAACACTTGGGAGGCAGAGACAGGCGGATCTCAGTGAGTTCGAGGCCAGCCTGGTCTACACAGCAAGTTCCAGGCCAGCTGGGACTAGAGGGAGACCCTGTCTCAAAAACACCTTTAAAAAAAAAAAAAAAAAGCTATCTAAAACGAGTTTCTATATTTTAAAAAAGGTTTATCACGGGGCTGGAGAGATGGCTCAGCAGTTAAGAGCACCAGGTGCTCTTGCAGAAGACCTGGATTCAATTCCCAGCACCCATACAGTGGCTAACAACCATCTGTAACTCCAGTTCCAAGGGATCTGACACCCTCTTCTGACCTCCAAGGGCAGTGCATGACATGGGTTCACTTACATACATTCAGACAATACTCATCCACATTAAAAAAAACTTTAAAGGAATTTTTTCTTTTTTTTTGGTCTTTTGAGACAGGGTCTCATTCTAAAAAAAACTGGGGAGAGGGTCCCTTGTTAAAAATATTAAACTACTGGCCTCAGGACTTCCTGCTTTACCTGATGAAGGCAGTTTCTCAAAAGTAGACCTGGTAGGAGGGACAATCAACAAGTGAACATCTAAACACTAATATGTGTCTAAGGTAATTTTGTAATAGTTTGGCAACTACAGCACAGCAAGGAAGAATCAGTCACCTAAATATAAGAAAACATTAAGTGGCTGATCCCTTCCTTTCAGGGAAGGCTCAAAGCTCACTGAAGTTACACATGGTGGAACATGCCTTTAAACAGCACACCAGAGGCAGAAGCAGGAGTTCTCTTGTGAGTTGAGGCCAGCCTGGTTCCAGGGAGTTCAAGGCCAGTCGGCTACATACTGAGATCTTGTCTCAAAAACAAAAGCTACATGTAGCACTTGAAATGTGTTTTTTAAACAAATGACACATTACAAAATAAGTGTTGTAAGCAATTACAATTAAATGCCAAGTCTAGGTACTTTTCCACATCTTTCAAACTATATACATCAAAAATGTGGTTTGGTTTTACCTTTTTAAAATATCACTAATAAACGTTTACTTCAACAAAGGAGCACGCTTTAATCTACCTCCTTTTACTAAAAGGTGTTTATTTGTACCACAATGAACAAACACTCTGGTCATAAATTTATTTTAAAGCAGTTCATCACAAACCCAAACTAAACAAATTCCAACTTCAAAAAGCTGTGGCCTTGGACAAGGGGAATTCAAGCATGGAAAGGCAAAATACTAATTCAAAGTTCAGAATCCAGTGTTTTCAAAAGATCCAGAAAAAGAATGAACATCCCCCAGAGTGGTTCAAAGTTACAATCAGCAAAGGGTCAAAATGTTTACTTTGTTTACTAAAACTGCACTGGAAGCCATTTATCTTAAGGAAGGATCATCCTGGTACTTTTTGTATGTTTTCACAAAACAAAAAAAACTAAAGCTATTGTCTCAGAAGTAACTTGCTTTAAAAACAGACCGCCCAAAAGGCCTCGTAAAAATTTTACTCTTAATAATGCCAGTAATTAATGGGGTGAGTAAAATGATCAAGAGGTTCGAAGCGTTATCTTAATTTCAACAATGATCAGGAACAATCCTCCAAAGTTATGGTGAGGATAAAGCTTCCTCTGATAATGGGGGGAGGGGGGCTTCCCTTGGGTGTGAGTTGGGGAGGGGAGGACTTTGGGGGGGGATGAACTCCTGTGAAGAAAAGTTCCAAGAATGTTTCTCACTTGACGTGGGAGTGGTACTGACGAGTAAAACAAATGACCCATGTTTACCAACCACGTTTGTGAGGACGAAAACTCTCTAGTATTAAGTATCTTAATGTTTTTTCCCCATTTCCAGGGGCAACCCCCTGCCCCCCAGTCCAGAGAGAAGCATACCAAACACCGGGAGGCTCAAAGAGGAAGGAACCCCCCCCCAAAAAAAACACAAGCTCTACGGAAACAAAAGGCCACAAGACGCCCGAGTCTAAAAAGCGATCTGAAACTTCCTGATCGCCACTTCTCCACATTTCAGGTTTGCAAAGTGCCCCCCACTCCCCGCCACGGTGGGGTCTCGCCGGTGGACCAGGGCCCATGGCGCTTTGTAAAGCGATGCATTGTTCCTCCTCCGTCGGCGCTGCCACGGAAGCTCAAGAAGTCGAAGAAACCCGAGGTGGTACAGAAATTACACTCCACCACCACCAGAGAAGACTAGGGGTTTCGCGAGCCCATCCAAATAAATAAATAAATAAATAATAAATAAATAAATAAATAAATAAAGTAAATAAGCAAGCCGAATGGCAACACAAATCTCCACGGACTCCCAGCAGGGCCCGATGGAGAGACCTAGAGCCCGGTCCCGGCTGCGGGCCCGAGCCCGGCCCCGGCGTCGGCCTGGCTGCGGCCCCGCTCCCCACCCCCTCCTCGCGGATAACAATAGGGCCTTGCTGCCGACTCCCAAACACGTACGAGCAGAGCGAGCGAGGAGCCTCCGCCAGGGCCGGGGCGGCCTTTCCTAAGCCCTTCTCGCCCCGCCAAACGCTCTCAAACGCCAATACGAAGGGCGCATCGGCTCGCTGGGGGTCCGGAGGATGGTTTGGGACCGTCCGCGCGCGGATACTCACGGGCGGAGCGGTAGGATGAAGATGGATTTCGGCCCCCCGATCTTCGCTCGCCGGCGCTCTCGCTCCCCCTTACCTTTCACTCCGACAACATGGCGGCCCACTGGGGACTGGGCTGGCGCGGTGCATCATGGGATCGGCGCCGGCCCCGGCTCCGGCGGTGGCAGCGGCGTGTGCGGAGCAGGCTGGCGGCTCTGGAACAGGTTGCCCGGTTGTCATGCCAACCGCAGGGCCTGTGTGAACTCCGGGAAACTCGCCGACAACACAACCGCTGTGCGCGCAGCGAGAGCCCGCCCACTGGGGCGAGCGCGCCGCTGGGAAGGAAGGGGGCGCAAGGCGGGGGCGCGCCGGCCGCACGGGAGCGCACAGGGCACGCCAGCACCCACCCTCTTCCCCCGGAGCGCGCCGCCACGGGGCCGCGCACGGGCCTCGAAGGAGCCCAGGCCTCCAGGCTTCCTACAGCCGGTGCCGCGCCCTCGCCGGCCTGGCCGTACCCGAGTTGGGTTCAAACCCTTTCCAACCTTCGGCTTACAGAATCCTCCTACCTCCATTTCCCCATTGTGTGACGCACGCCTTTAATCCCAGCACTTGGGAGGCAGAGGCAGGCGGATCTCTGTGAGTTCAAGGCCAGCCTGGTCTACATAGTGAGTTCCAGGACAGCTGGGGCTACAGGGAGACCCTGTCTCAAAAAGACCAAAAAAAAAAAAAAAAATTAGGGATTTCAAGATAGCACAGCAGATTACACCAAAAACATACAGCCAAACGCGTTTGTAATGTGGTCTTACTGTTAGCTGTTATTCTGTGCAGTTGTTAAAATGAATGGGTCTGTGGCCATTTGATGAGCAGGACTTTGAAATCAGTAGTAGTTGATAACAGATCTTATTACATTTTATTTATTTTGTAAAAGGAGTACACAGGTGTGGAGGGAGGAGGGCAACTGGTGTTGGTTTTCTCCTTCCGTGTGGGTTGAGACTAAGGTGTCAGGCAAGTGGCTTTACAAACTCCTGACTTACCTTGCAGGCTCAAGCCAGTTATCGCAAACTAAACTCAAGAGGGATTTAAAATAAGCAAATCATAACACTATAAAAGGCCAGAAGATATTGGGAGAGAGAAGGCCCCATAATTAAAGGAAAGATGTTTATAATCAAAAATCTCTGCTGAGCTGAAGAGATGGCTCAGCAGTTAAGAGCACTGGCTGGTCTTGCAGAGATCTTTTATGGAGGTCAGAAGAGGTTGTCAGTCCCCTGAAACTGGAGTTACTAGACTGTTCTTAGCTGCCATTTGGGTGCTGGGAACTGAACCCCGGGTGCTCTGCAAGAGCAGCCAGTGCTCTTAACCACTGAGCTATCTCTCGAGCCCCTGAAAATATTTTTTTAAATCAATAGATGACAAAGCAGAACATGGTGGTACATGCCTGTAACTCCAGCATTTGGGAGGCTGAAAAACGAGGATTGCCATGAGTTTTTGGCTTGTCTATGCTACATAGCAAGTACCAGGTCAGCTAGAGACAAAACCCAAGACTTAACACAAGCTACTGAGCTACACCCCAGCCTAAGATTCACTTCTGAATAAGATTTGGAAGTTAAACATCCTGAATTCTGCTACTTCCTGGCTGGGTGACCCTGGGGCAAGTTTGAGTTTCAGCTCCCTGGGGGGCTGGAGAATGAAGATGATAAGGGCTGGGTACATAACTCAGTAATAGAGCACTTGGCATTTGTGAGGCCCTGGGTTCAATCCCCAACGCCAAAAGAAAAGAAAAAAAAAGTGACAATGCTCTTCTCTAGGGTAGTTATGATGGCTAAATGAACTAAGCATTATTGAATTAGTAGCCAATAAATGTAGCTGTTTTGCACAGAGCATGTGGTAATCTAACAGCTACTTTCAGTGCCAAAACTCAGATTCCTTTTTTGTTCTTTTTTCTTTGTCTTGTTTTGTGATTCCATCTCACGTATCGCAGGCTGGCCACAAACTCATCATGTAGCTGAGGATGACCTTGCACTCCTAATCTTCCTCCCCTCCCTAGTTCTGGGATTATAGGCACGCACTACCACACCGAGTTTATGTGGTGCTGGGGATTGGAATCCAGGGCTTCCTGTATACTGAGCAAGCACTTTATCAACTGAGCAGCATCCCCAGTCCTCAACATTCAGATTCAACAACTCTGTAAGTAACATGCAGTATTCAGACAGCCAGCTTGAAGTTACTTAATTGAGCCTTCGTTTTTCCCCTCTGAAATACAGAATTAATATAATAACAGTGAAATCAAATACATAATGCATTTAGTCCAGTCAGGCCAGTACTGCACGGTACTGAGTAGCCATAGTAAGAAAATACTCAGCAAGAACACTGCAGACAAGAGAAATTACAGCTTTCAGATTTTTACCAAGCTCTGGGCTCCCTGCTTTCATCCTGAGAGCCATGGCTAATTCCTTAGTTTTCATTTCAACTTTCATTACTCAAAAGGAGAGATTCTAATGTCACTTTTGCCACAATCATGAGGTACCAGGCTTTAGGCCTTAGCTCAGTCAAGTGAGGTAAGCCGACTGAATTAAGTGTCTCCCATCTCTGGTCTCCTTACTTCAAAGGGTGTAAGATACCACCCAGCCCCGAAATAACCCTATCAGAGCAGGCCTTCCAGCACACCCATGAGACTGGCCTCTTATCAAATGTTTACCAGAGTACCATGTGCTGTCTTAAGACTTTTGTATTTGTTATCTAATTGAAAACTTCCAAACAAATAAGTAAATGCAAACTAAAAATATAAAACTCCCTAGCCAGGCATGGTGGCACACGCCTTTAATCCCAGCACTTGGGAGGCAGAGGCAGGCAGATCTCTGTGAGCTTGAGGCCAACCTGGTCTACATAGCGAGTTCCATGTCAGCTGAGATTACAGGGAGACCCTGTTTCAAAAAAACCAAAAAAAAAAAAAAAAAACTTCCCAGACAAACTCTGATATGGTAATCATAAAGGACAAAAATCACTCTTCCTGCTTAAAACTAAGGCTTAGAAAGGCTAAGAGATTGGGTTAATGTTTATCACGTCTGAGGCTATGCACTGAGCAGTCGGGAATTGTCATTGTTGAAATTCTACCTAAACCTTAGGAATCCTCTCTCCTCATACAGCTAAACCCACTTATAACATCATCAATCCTTGAGAGTTCCAGAAACCTAAAAAATTTAATCAAGCTGACCTGGGGAGAAGATTAGGGTGGATTTGAGAAGGGTATTTTTAATCTAATCAGCAGAAACCTAATCCAAGCCTTTAACCTAATCAAAGAAAACACTACAGGCATCTCCAAGCAGAAACTTTTAGCAAGGGTCATTCAAGAAAACCTTGGAAGCTGGGAATGGTAGCAAAAACCTGTGATGCCAGCACTTGGGAGACTGAGGCAAGAGGAATGTGAGTTCCAGGCCAGCCAGGCTGCATAACAAGACCAGCAAAAAAGACAACAGAGCCAGGCGTGGTGGCACATGCCTTTGGCAGAGGCAGGCGGATCGCTGTGAGTTCAAGGCCAGCCTGGTCTACGTAGTGAGTTCAGGTCAGCTGGGGTTACAAGAGACCCTGTCTCAAAAAGACAAAAAAAAAAAAAAAAAGACAACAGAAGGGAAATCCCACCTCAGCCTTCGTAGGGGTTAAAGAGTGGGTTGAGGCCAGGCGTGGTGGCGCACACCTTTAATCCCAGCACTTGGGAGGCAGAGGCAGGCAGATCTCTGAGTTCAAGGCCAGCCTGGTCTACATAGTGAATTACAGGCTAGCTAGGGCTACAGGGAAACCCTGTCTGAAGAAGATTAAAAAAAAAATAAAAAAAGAGTAGGCTGAGGCAGGCTAGCAAGAAGTGAAGAGACACTCATTCTCCCTTGTAATGTCCCTAGCTAGTAAAAATTTCTAAAAAGCAGTGTTTAAAATGCTTGTAAAGCAGTCTCAAGCAAGGTTGTGTCTTCTAATTTTCTGAAAAGATATTTTGTTAGCAATACTGTTTTTCAACTGTGTTACACTTGTGTCCTTGGTTATTTGGAGACTGACTCCCCCTTGGATGGGCCTCTGTTGTTGACTGCTGCTAGGGTACTTGGTCTGTCACTTGATTTCTGAGCAGATCACATAGAGAGCTCTTGGGCAGGAGAGCTTGCACTCCAGTATGCCTCACCGGATATTCCAAGCAATCATCTGACTGAGGGAAAACAAGAAAACTGCGGTGGGGAAGACACCAGAGAGGTGGCTCATCGGGTAAGAGCACTGGACGCTCTCGGTTCCCAGCACCCACTGGTGGCTCACAGCCTGCTATAACTCCAATACCAGGGGATCCAACACCTTCTTCTGACTTCCACAGGCTCCTGCACATATGTGGTACACATAAACTCAGGCAAGCACAAACACATACAAATTAATTAATTAATTAATTAATAATCTTTTTTTAAAAATACAAGATTTAGCCAGGTGTAGTGGCGCTCATCTTTAATCCTAGCACTTGGGAGGCAGAGGTAGGCCAATGTCTGTGTGATCAAGGCCAGTCTGGTCTACATAGCAAATAAAAGGCTTGATGTGTGTGTGTGTGCATTTGCATGTGTGCCATGTGTGTGGATACCCTCAGAGGCATCAGATTCTCTGGAGCTGGAGTTACAGGTGTTGGTGAGCTACCTAATATGGGTTCTGGGAAACAAACTCAAGTCCTTGGGAAAAACAGCCAGTGCTCTCCAGCCCCACTATATAAATTATTTTGTTTATTATTATTATTATTATTATTATTATTATTATTACTACTGTGTTTGTGTGGTGCATGGTGTGTAAGTGTGGGTGTGCATGCCACAGCACCAATTTGGAGGTCAGAGGACAACTTTCAGAAGTCAGTTCTCTTTCCACCATGTAGGTTGTAGGATCAAGCTCAGGTCATTCAGGTCATCGGGCTTAGCAGCGGCACCTTTACCCACTGAGCCATCTCTCCAGCCCCTGGATTTTGTTTATAAGATTTTATTTTTGATATTTTATTTATTATTTTCATTTTATGTGTATGAGTGTATTGCCTGCATGTATGTGAGTGCACCCGTGTCGTGCAATGCCTCAGAGGTCAGAAGAGGACTTTGGATTCCCCTGGAACTAGAGTTAAGGACGGTTCGTAGCTGCCATGAGGGTGCTGGGAATCAAATCCCAGTCCTCTGTAAGAGCAGTCAGTGCTCTTAACTGCTGAGCCATCTCTCCAGCCCCAACCCCCTGAATTTTTAAAAACATTTATTATTTTTATTCTATGTGTATGAGTGTATTGCTTGCATGTATGTAAGTGTACCTGTGTTATGCATTGCCCGTGGAGGTCAGAAGAG